TTCCCTATCTTGCTCTCTCTCTCACTCTGTCCCTCTCTGGTCAAATCAAAATACATACATACATACATACATACATACATAAAGTTAGTTCAATAAAATAATTTAAAAAGAAAAGAAAAGAAAAGAAAAACTGCCTTGCTGGGGTCCAGCAGATGGCGTAGCGTTATGCCGTTGAACTCCCACAGAGCTGATTGCGAATGGAAACCCGGGCCCAGTGGCTTGGAACTCACACCAGGCACGTGTGCGTGCATGTGCCGAATCCCAAGAGGAGAATCAAAGAGAAGGGGGTGCAGCGTGGCCCCCTCCCGCGGGGTGATTTCTCGTTGTCTGTCTGGTGAATGCATTCACTCTATAGCAAAAATCTTTCTTAAAAAAGAAAAAAGAGGGACCGGCAGACGGTATAATGGCTACGTCGCTGGACTCCCACGTAGCCGACTGCAGTTCGAGCTCTGGACCTGGAGGCTTAAATTCACGCCGGGCGTGTGTGCGTGCGTGCCCAAGATCCCCAGAGGAGAATGGAGGAGAAGGGATTGCAGCGTGGCCATCCCCCCTGGGGGGTGTGATATCTCGCTTGGTGTTTCTCTGTCTGTCTCTGTCTGGTGAGCGCACGTGCCTATGGCAAAAACCTCTCCAAAAAAAAGAAAAGCTGCCTTGCAAAATAAAGTGTTTCTTCTTCTTTATCTGTTTGGTTAAGAGGCAGGGTCTGGCTCTGTTACCCAGGCTGGCCTTCAACGCCTGACCCTCCTGCCTCAGCCTCCCAAGGGGCCGGGACCACAGGCGCTGGTCAGCACGCACGGGTGTGAAGACTTTCTCCCGCACCGAGAGAGAAGCGAGGAGTGAGCGGTAAGTGCACCGTGACTGTCTGCCTCTTGAGCAAGTGTGTTTCTGAAAAGGACGGAAGGTGAGCCGGACTGCCCGGCTGCCCGCTGGGTTCACTGAGCGAGGAGGACCTGACCCTGACGGGGCTGGGGTGCTCTGCCTATAGCTCTGTGACACACAGCTGGTGCCGAGCGTCTAGACGGGGGGCGCCCGCCTACTGACTAGACTATGAGGAGAAAGAGAGAGAAATAGGGGCCCAAAAATCAGACAAGAGGCCCGTGAAGAGCAGATTCCCAGAGAAAAGCTCCTTTGCTACTGACTGTGTATCAGGAGTTTAGGGCCCACCGACGGCGCGGCGGTGAAGCCATCTACCTGCCCGCCTTGTGCACTGCAGAGCAAAGGAGCTTCCTGACGGCCCCCTGCGACCTCGGTGTGCCGGGTGGCACCTGGGCACGCTGCGGGCCCAGGACTGCTGCAGCCTCTTCCTCATGGGGAAGGGGGAGGCAGACCCGGCTGAGAGGAACCACGTGGAAGGAAACCAAGAGCCGGTTCCAGGAGCCGTGGCCCTGCCCGAGAAGAGCTCGCCATACCTGACCAGGCACATCCGCTCACGGGAGTGGAGGCTAGGAAGCGCAAGGGAGGAGGGGAGGCATGCGTGGAGAAGCATGGCGGGGCGCAGGGGCCTTCCCCGCCTACCATCGGCCGCGGGGGTCTGCACCGCACTCTGCTGCCCGGGCACCGGGGCGCGCGCGCTGCTGATCAGGAGGTCGAACTTGGTGCTCCTGCAGGTGTTGGAGCACACCTTGTCGTGCTGGTAGAAGTCGATCTGGCCCGAGTCCATCATCTTCCTGTGCAGAGGGAGAGAAGCCCCAGCTCGGCCGGCACGGCAATGGCACGCCGAGGCCACCCCGCAGGTCCAGGCCGCCCAAGTCCTGACCGGAGCCGGAGGGCACAGGCCTCCACGCCCCTGCTCCTTCCCTCCCCTACTCCTCAAGAGCATCGTGTCCATGCGCACGCCCCCGAGCTTCAGGTGGTCACCTGACGTCTCAGACCCCCGTCTCCCTGACTCTCTGAAACCTAGCAGCAGGTGGCGCGGCTAACGCGCGGGACTCTCATGTGGCCGACGGTGTTAAGGCCCAGACCCGGTGGCTTCAGAACCACGCTAGGTGCGTGTGCATACATGCCCAAAGTCCCAGAGGAAACGAGAACGGGGTATGGGGCTGCCATCCTCGCAGGGGCGACTCTCTCTCGCTCTCGCTCTGTCTCTGGCAAGCACAAGCGGCCTACAATAAAGACGGAAAAAAGCAAGCAAGTAACAAAGCCCTGCCAGAGCAGAGCTGGTTACACGAGACCCACAGCGGAGGACGTCCTTGCTACCAGGGAAGAAGCACCGCTACTGCAGTCCGCAGGCAAAGCCACGGGGCGCCGGAGTGCAGGCGGGCTCAGAGCAGCAGCCTGGGAGGGACGGAGGGGGGGAGCGCCCTCCACAGGGTCTCTCAGCACGCTCTCCCGCCAGGACCGAGGGTAGCGCCCAGTGACAGGGCGACGGGACGGAGCTGCAGTCCCCCATCGGCGGGGTACTGCCGAGCCCAAGTGGCCCTCACAGACCCTTCGGCACCCCACCCTGCATGTGGGGACCTGGTGTGTGCTTGCCCTTCTGGGAGAACAGGCCCAGGGCAAGGAGCGGGAGTGGAGGTGCTGCTCCCCAACTCCGTTTGAGTCCTGCTTTCTTTCTTTTTTTAGAATATTTTAAAACTTTAATTATTTATTTTAACTTGGCCAGAGAGGGACAGAGCGAGAGAGCGAGAAAGAGAGAGAGAGAAAGTGAGAAAGCAAGCCACCAGGTCCAGGACTCGAACCACGGTCAGCCATGTGGGAGTCCAGTGCCTTAACCACCACACCACCTGCCGGTCCTTGATTCCTGATTTCTGCAAACAAATCACCTGGATCAAACAATATTGTTTATAATTATGTCATTTTATTTATTAGTATTCTTCAACTTGTCCAGAGAGAGACAGAGAGAAGGAATGTGAGAAAGGAAGCCTCCAGGTCCAGGACTCAAACCATGGTCGGCCATGTGGGAGTCCAGTGCCTTAATCACCATGCCACCTGCCAGCCCCCTGGACCAAAGACTCTGTGTAAATGCTACGAGAGGATGTGCACTTGCCGAGAGAAGGCAAGGAGGCGCCCTCAGGAGGGTGCCCACGCCCCACTGTCTGATGCGCCTCCCTCTGTCCAGGCTGTGGGCATGCGCGTCTGTACCTGGTGGGGCTCTCGACAACTCCAACTGCGCCATGGGCCCTAACTGCCTGTCAGAGCTGGCTCAGAACCAGACCTGCAAAGCCGCGCCCGGGGCCTGACTGCAGACAACTGGGCAGCGTGGGACTATGGTGCCGCAGGACGCTCTGCAGCATGGCCACGGTGTGGGGCACGAGGCTCGGCAGGGAGCCCCCACAAAGCCCGCCCCAGGTGTGGCGGGGGTTGCCGAGGCCTTGCTGGCAGGGCCTCTCGCTCTCACGTCACAAGTACACTCGGGCCGGCAGACGGCACAGGGGCACGTCACTGGACTCCCACACGGCAGGCTGGTTTCCACCTGAAGGCCTGAAACTCACAGCGCGTGTGCACCCGTGCCCAGTCCCCGGAGAATGAAGGGACTGCAGATGGACATCCCCCATTGGAGGTGGTTTCTCATTTCCCTCTCACTGCTTCTGTCTCTCTGGTGAGTGCACGTGCCCTAAGGCAAAGATCTCTTAATAAAATTAAATAAACCAGGACCAGCAGTTAGCATAATGGTTATGTTGCTGGACTCCCACTTGACTGTGGTTCAAGTCCTGGACCCGGCAGCTTAAACTCACGCCGGGTGCATGTGAGTGCGTGCCCAAGATCCCGAGAGGAGAATGGAGGAGAAGGGATTGCGGTGTGGCCATCCCCCCGGGGGGTGATTTCTCACTTTCGGTCTCTGTCTCTGTCTGTCTGTCTGGTGAGCGCACGCGCCCTATAGCAAAAACCTCTCAAAAAAAAATTAAATAAGTAAACCTAAAATATGTGAATATATTAACATTTCTTTTTGAAAACAAAGACAACTATAAAGAAAACAACTGCCCTTTAAAACTATGCAAATGGGAGCAGCAAATGGCATAATGATTATGTAGCTGGACTCCCACGGAGCGGACCACAGCTCTAGTCATGCCGGGCATGTGTGTGTGTGTGTGTGTGTGTGCCAAAATCCCAAAAGAGTGGAGGAGAAGGGACTGCAGTATGGCCATCCCTCTGAGGGTGATTTCTCGCTTTCTGTCGCTGTCTCTCTGGCAAACATACATGCCCTACAGCAAAAATCTCTCAAGCATTTTTCATGTAAAAATTCTTCAGAAACACCGTCATGCAAACTATCCCATGGTATATAATCATACGCATTCAGACAGGCCGTAATTTTCTTGAGAAGTCCTTGGTGCACAGCAGGGCAGGCGGCCACTTCCACCATAAGCAACACCACTGCACTGGGAACTCTCTATGTGCATTAGTTTCCCAGGACAGGTTTCTAAAAAGAAGTAAAGAGACAAAGGACGGGGGCCAGCAGCTGGTATGGCGGTTAGAGCCCTGGAATCCCACATGGCTGACTGCAGTTCGAGTCCCGGACCTACTGGCTGGCTTTCTCACTTTTTCTCTTTCATTCTGCCCCTTTGTGGTCAAATTAAAATAAATAAGTAAATATGGGGCCAGCAGATGGCGTGGTGGTTAAGGCGCTAGACATTCCCACATAGCCAACCAAGGTTCGAGTCCCAGACCTCGTAGCTTGCTTTCTCACTTCCCACTCCCCTCTTTCTCTGGTCAAATTAAAATAAATGAATGAAAAAATAAAATTAAATAAATCTTTAAAATGAATAAAGTTAAATAAAATAATTCTTTTTAAATTTACCTTTATTTATTCATTTATTTATTTATTTTAATTTGACCCGAAAGAGACAGAGAAAGAGGGACCAGCAGTTAGCGTAATGGCTATGTTGCTAGACTCCCATGTAGTCGACCACGGTTCAAGTCCTGGACCCGGCGGCTTAAACTCACGCCGGGTGCATGCGCGTGCGTGCCCAAGATCCCGAGAGGAGAATGGAGGAGAAGGGATTGTGGTGTGGCCATCCCCCCTGGGGGTGATTTCTCGCTTTCTATCTCTCTGTTTCTGTCTTTCTGGTGAGTACACGCACCCTATAGAGAAAACCTCTCCAAAAAAATAAAATAAATAAATAAATAAAATAAAGAGAAAGAGAGAGAGAAAGTGAGAAAGCAAGGCACCAGGTCTGGGACTTGAACTGTGGTCAGCCATGTGGAGTCCAGAGCCTTAACTACCATGACACGTGCTGGCGCCTAAAATAACCCTTAAAAAAAAAAAAAAAAAAAAAAGACAAAGGACAGGATGTTTTGTTTTAGGGATTTTTTTAAGACAGATTTTTGCTATAAGGCACATGCACGTGCCATAGAGACAGAGAGAAAGGGTGAGAAATCACCTCCCAGAGGGATGGCCACGCCACAACCCCTCCTCCATCCTCCTCTTAGGATTTTGGGCATGCACACACATGTACCTGGCAGTTTCAAGCCTCCAGGTCTGGGACTCGAACTGCAGTCAGCCATGTGGGAGTCCAGCGTCTTAATAACTACCATCTGCTGGGCCTTCATTTTTGTTTTTGTTTTTTGCTTTTAGCTACAGGGTACATACACTTGCCAGAGAAAGAGACAGAAAGACAGAGGGAAAGTGAGAACTCGCCCCCCAGGGGATAACCATGACACAACCCCTTCTCCCCCATCCCCCCAGGACTTGAGGCACATCTGCACAAACACCCAGTGTGATTTGAAGCCACTGGACCCAGGACTCGAACTGCAGAGTTAGCCGTGTGGGATCCCGCCGCCTTAACCTGACATCGGCTAGCCTAGGGCAGGAGGCCTTTTAAAAAAAATTTAATTATTTATTTAGTTAATTCCACTTGTTATTGTTTTTTTAATTTGACCAAAGACAGAGACAGAAGGAAAAGGAAAGCGAGAAAGCAAGCTGCCAGGTCCAAGACTTGAACCACGGTCAGCCATGTGGAAATTCAGAGCCTTTAACCACCATGCCACTTGCTGGCCCAGGATGCTTTTAAAGCTCCTGATACATGTTCTGGGAAACCTGAAGTTTTTTTTATTTTTTGGAAAGGTTTTTTCACTATAGGGTGCGAGTGCTCGCCAGACAGAGACAGAAAGTGAGAAATCACCCCCAGGGGGGATGGTCACACCACAATCCCTTCTCCATTCTCCTCTTGGGATCTTGGGCACGCACGCACACGCGCCCGGTGTGAGTTCTAAGCCACCGGGTCCGGGACGTGAACCGCGGTCGACTACGTGGGAATCCAGTGACATAGCCATTACACTAACTGCTGGTTCCCGGAAACCTGAAGTTTTTGACCACACCTTAACACTATCTATCAGTAGGCGAGCACTGCTGGACACCATGCAGTGCTAACCCTGCCTGGGAGGACCACCACGCTCAGGAGCTACAGAGACCGGCAGTTACCTCTGTCTGGGACATGAGGCTCGTGTCCAGAGCGAACGACTGACCCACCCTACCTGCCACGATACCTGCCACGTCGCCGGCTTCCCGGGGCTTGGCCATGGGCCGGCACTGCATAGCCATGCCGCCTCCTCAGTACAGGCTCAGCCCCACCTCCGCCATGTGCTACTCAAGGGCCAGATCCCACAGGGTGCCTGTGGTTCGAGCCCCAGCCCAGCCTCCCTGAAACAATGACAGTCATGAGCATAAGTGTCCGGAACTCAGTGGGCTGGAGGACGGGGCACTGGCCGGGGTGCTCACCGCTCTCTCTCACTCTGCTGCTTCACGCGCTCTATCAGCAATCTACAAAAAGGGTGAATGGAGGCCGGCAGGTGGCGTGGTGGTTAAGGTGCTGGACACTCCCACATGGCTGACCACAGTTTGAATACCAGACCTGGCAGCTTGCTCTCTCACTCCTTCTCCCAGACAAATTAAAATAAGTTCTCTGCATCCCTCTCTGTTCAAATTAAAATGAGTAAATAAATAAAATGTAATAAAAAAAGAATTGGGACCAGCAGGTAGGTGGCGCGATAGTTACGAGTGCTGCACTCCCACATGGCCAACCACGGTTTGAGTCCCGGACCTGGCGGCTCACTTTCTCACTTACCCTCTTTCTCTCTCTCACTCTGTCCCTCTCTGGTCAAATTAAAATAAATAAATAAAGTTAAATAAAATAATTCTTTAAAAAAAAAAAGAATGAGCAACCAGCAGGAAGTGCAGTGGTTAACGTGCTGACTCCCACACGGCCGACCGCGGACCCAGCCTCAGACCCAGCACCGTGAAAATCATGCCGGACACATGCGTGTGCATTTCCACATCCAGGAAGAGAATGGAGAAGAGGGGCTCTAGCCTAGCCATTTCCCTCTCACTGTCTCTGTCTCTCTCAGACAAGTGCATGTGCCCTGTGGCAAACACCTGAAAAAAATTTAAAAAGAAAAGAAAGAAAAAGAAGAGTTAAAAAAATTTGCTCTAGATGCTGAAAGGAGCTCATTACGCTTAATTTTCCTTCACTACCAGGGATTTTAAAAAGTTAAGGAAGGTCGAGTAACGTACGGAATGCTCAAGTCAACCCTTCGGACAGAATTAAAGTGTCAAATTAAAGAGAAAAGACCGGCGATGAGACCGTGCTGCAAGCGAGCTGTGCCTCTGTGAGGCTGGCTCGTGGGGGAGGCCCAGCGTGCCGGCTGCGATACCCACGGGCTGCTGAAGCAGACGTGGGTCGCAGCCTAAAGACACTGCGAGTCTCTTTCTCTCTCTTTCCTTTGTGGAAGAAATACATTTCTAAAAGATATATGTTCAGGGACCAGCATTTGGAGTAATGGTTACATTGCTGGACTCCCACATAATCCACCGCAGTTCAAGTCCTGGACCCGGTGATTTAAAGCTCATGCCAGGTGTGTGTGTGTGTGTGTGTGTGTGTGTGTGTGCCCAAGATCTCAAGAGGAGAATGAAGAAGGGATTGCAGCATGGCCATCCCCCCAGGGGATGATTTTTCGCTTTCTGTCTCTCCAGGGAGCACACATGCCCTATAGCAAGAATCTCTCAAAAAAAAAAATTTTTTTTTCTCTCTCGTTTTAAAAATATGTCAGAGGCATGTGTGCTCCCTGGAGAGACAGAGAGTAAGGGCAGGGGAAGGAGAGCCAGGACCCCAGGCTCCACAGGGACAGCCTTGCTGCAGTCCTGCCCCCACTCTCCTCTCAGGATTTTGAGCACACACGCACATGTGCTGGCATGTTCGAGCCTCTGGGTCTGGGACGTGAACTGCACGCTGGCCAGGTGGGATCAGCCCCGTAACCACCAGTCCTTAAAATGCACATTTGAAAGAAAAAGAGAGGGAGGAGCAGAGAGTGACAGCCATGTCGCAGACTGTCGTTCGAGTCTTGGACTGGGAGACTTGAAACTCACAGCAGGCACGTGTGCATGGATGACTGAACCCCGAGAGGAGAACAGTGGAGAAGGGACTGTGGTGTGGCCAGCCCGAGGGCTGAGTCTCGCTTTCTGTCTCTCTGAAGAGCACGCACGCCTATAGCAAAAATTTCTCTCAAAAAAAAAAAAACAAAGGGAAAGAAAACGAGAGCAGCCGGGACTCGCGCTTCGCTGCCGTGAGGGGCCGCAGGCCGTGAGGTCGTCGGGCTTACCTCAGCATGATCCCGCCCAGGCGGATGGCCCTCTTCCAGTCCTTCAGGGTGGACTTGCCGGCCAGGTGGACGAAATGCTTGGGGCTGATCAGCTGATCATTGAACTACGGGAAAAGAGCATGCAAAGCAGTCCAGCATCAACTCGGGCAGGCCAAGCAGGACAAGAACGGAACGGTTACTTGCTATGTACGAAAAACCCACAGTGCCTGAAGTCAGCCTCGTACCCTCCAGCCTCTTGTCCTATTGTGCCAGGAACAACCTTTCCCTGAGCACAGGACCCTTCCTGCTATGAGGCTACAGAACACAGGAGAGGACAAGGGATGAGAGAACTGACATGCACCTACAACCGCTCGGGACTGGATCGGACGGCCAGGCACTGGGCTGTTCAAATGAGCTGAGCTGATGGACAAGCATGGAGACATGGGAGGATGGAGCGGCAGAGCCTGGCAGCACTGCGGGCCCCACCCCTCGGCTCTGGACTGCAGCAGAGGACACGCTTCTGGTGACAACCATCTGTGTGTGCACTGCGGCTGCCCACAGAGACAGAATGAGCCACCGTCTCCATGCAGGCTCATGGGTGTGACAATGCCCTGCTTCACTTCTTCTGAGAGACAGAAAAGGTATCGTTGACGGGACATTGTCACACCAGGACGCCCTCCAGCCTTCTAGCCACAGGGGTCACAGGTGCACACACATGTGCCTGGCACGTGTCAGTGACCCAGGATCCCAACCACAGTCTTCCATGTGGCTCCAGCAGGAGAGATCGACGGCCTCTCCCACGGAGGCTGCACTTCATTTGTCTCAGTTTGCTACAGAGTGCACGTGCAGCGACAGAGAGGGAGAGTGAGGTCAGCCCCGGGGATGGCATGGCTCAGTCCTCCATACTCCTCTGGGATTCTGGGCACGCACACATGCCTGGCATGACTGTCCAACACCCAGACCCAGGACTCAAACCACAGTCAGCCATGTGGGGTCCAGCCGCCTGAACCTCCAGGCCACCTGCGGGCCCTCATTGTTTATTTTGATCAATCTGGTTTTAGGGCCAGCTCCATGACGCAGCGGTGATGAGCTGCTGCACAGGCCAAAGCCCACGTGGCAGCTGCAGTGCGAACCCCCGGCCTGGTCGGCCTGCAGCCTGCGGGGCTCACATGCACGTGCCCGAAACGTGACAGGCAGGAGAGTTAGAGACCCAGCGTGACCCGACCCCTGGGCATGCTCATCTCTCACCTCACTCTCACATGTGTGCACAAGAGCTCCGTCATGGGTTCAGGTTTTTTTAAATGTTAGAGGGCCAGCAGGTGTGGTGCTTAAGGCAGTGTACTCTGACATGGTTGACCATGGTTCTCGTCCCAGACCTGGTGGCTAGCTTTCTCGCTTGCCCTCTCTTTCTGTATCTCTCTGGTGAGCACATGGGTTCTGTAGCAAGTTTTTTTTTTTTTTGGAGAGGTTTTTGCTATAGGGCGCGTGCAATTGCCAGAAAGAGAGACAGAGACAGAAAGTGAGAATTTACCCCCCGGGAGGGATGGCCACAACACAATCCCTTCTCCTCCATCCTCCTCTCGGGATCCTAGGCACACACGCACACGCGCCCGGCATGAGTTTAAGCCACCAGGTCCAGGACTCAAACCGCGATCAGCTATGTGAGAGTTCAGTGACACGGCCATTATGCTAACTGCTGGTCCCTCCTGTAGCAAGTTTTAAAAAATAATAATACCGGGACCAGCAGGTGCTGTAGTGTTATGTAGCTGGACTCTCACACAGTTGACCATGGTTCGAGTCCTGGACCTGGCGGCTTGAAATTAATGTGGTGGTTGGGACACTGGACTCCCACAAGGCCAACCACAGTTGGAGTCCCAGACCTGGCAGCTTGCTTTCTCTCTCTCTGGTCAAATTGAATAATAATAATAATGGGACCAGTAGACGGCATAATGGCTATGTCGCTGGACTCCCATGTATTCGACTGCAGTTCAAGTCCCGAACTTGGTGGCTTAAACTCACGCTGGGTATGTGTACGTGCATGCCCAAGATCCTGAGAGGAGAAGGGATTGCGGCATGGCCATCCCCCTGGGGGATCATTTCTCGCTTTCTGTCTCTCTGCCTCTCTCTGTCTTTCTGGCAGCACACGTGCCCTATAGCAAAAACCTCTCCCCAAAAAAAGAAGAAATTAATGAAATTAAAGAAATCTTGTTTAAAAAAAGGAATTACTGGGACCAGCAGGTGGTGTGGTGGTTAAGGCACTGGACACTCCCACATGGCCAACCCTGGTTCGAATCTCGGACCTGGTGGCTTGCTTTCTCACTTTCCCCCTATCTCTCTGTGTCTCTTTCTGGTCAAATTGAAATAAATGAATGAATAAATAAAATTAAATAAGTAATTCTTAAAAGAAAAAAAGGAATTATTATGATTTTTTGGGAATTATTCTTCTCTTTTTTTGGAGAGGTTTTGAATGTACTGCCCAGAGAGACAGAAAGCAAGGAATCACCCACAGGGGGGATGGTAAGAGAGAAATCACCCCCCAACTGGGCATGGTCATACCACGATCCTATCTTGTTGGGATTTGGGCATACATATTTTCTAAGCTACCAGGGCCAGTATGTGAACTGTGGCCAGCCACGTGGTATCTGACTCCCTGGGTGTAGCACTTAACCTCTGCACTACCCTTTTTTAAATTTAATTTTATTTATTCATTCTTTTTTTTTTTTTTTTTAAATATGACCAGAGAAGGACATAGAGAAAGAGCGGGAAAGTGAGAAAACGAGCCACCAGGTCTGGGACTTGAACCATGGGCAGCCACGTGGGAGTCCAGCATTTTAACCACCATGCCACCGGCTGGTCCTCTAATTTATTTATTTATTTAAAGAATTATTTTATTTAACTTTATTTATTTACTTATTTATTTTAGTTTTGACCAGAGAGGTACAGAGCGAGAGAAAGAAAGTGAGAAAGCAAGCCGCCAGGTCCGAGACTCGAATTGCAGTCGGCCATGTGGGAGTCCAGCGCCCTTAACCATGCCACTTGCCGGTCCCCCCCCCTTTTCTTAAAGAATTATTTTACTTAACTCCTCTCATTTATTTTTTAAATTTGACTAGAGAGGGAGAGAGGGAAAGTGGGAAAGTGATTTGAACAACAATAAGCCATGTGGGAGTCCAGTGCTTTAACCACTATGTCACCTGCCGGTCCTCCAAAGAAATTTATAATGGGGCCGGCAAGCAACATGGAGGTTAAGGGCGCTGGACTCCCCCATGGTCAACCACGGTTTGAGTCCTGGACCTGGTGGCTTGCTTTTTCACTTTCCCTCTTTCTGTCTGTCTCTGGTGAGCACTCTGTCCCTCTTTATTTAATTAAAATAAGTAAATAAATAAAATTAATAAAGTTAAATAAAATTTTAAATTAAGTTTAAAAAATTTGCAATAAATCCTACCACAGTGCATGCCAGTCCAAGGCATCTAACTGTATTACCCCGCTGACTCCAGCAGTCTTGCAGTGTGTATTACTCCCACTTTCATGTGAGAGGCTCTGAAATACTGAGTGACTTCTCGAGGTCACCCAGTTAGTCAAGAGCAGAGAGGGATTGAACAGGGCACTGGCACCCACTCCACCCTGCGCCAGCCCCGTCGAGGCCCCAGGCCAGCTCCCACTCTCGCGCCGCC